CACGCCGGAAACAAAACACGCCGAGAATTGATTGAAGCCTGGAAACTCGGTCAATGGATTTATCGATCTGGCGCCGGCGTACAAAGTCCTGCGTCGTCACCTCCAGTCTTGCGCCGTCGGTCGATGATTGGTCTTCATGCCCTATAGCTGTCGCTTGTTCTGTTGCTGCCACTACCTCTGACGATGGACTCCTGCACGAGCTCAGGACAATAAACAAAGTGTTCCGGTGCTGAACGCTTCTTCTTCGCAGATATTTCAGTCTGCTTAATCACCGACTGGTCGAGCCCTGGAACCAGTTGCTCCCTTTTCGAGGTTTCCAAAGTCCCACTTGGTTTCATTGTCAGCGAGGACGATTGCAATAATGCAGGTGGTAGCTGCCGAGTACGTTAACCAATCAGCGTCCAGTTCCGAAGGTCAGGAGGTGACTGCGTGCATGCGCAAAATCACTACATCAGTTTTTGTTCAGCTCTCTTCGAAGCCCACGTGTCAATAAACTCTCGGCTGAGAAAGGGCACTCGCCTCCATTCCAAAGGTATGAACCACAGCCCGCGATAACTCTTCATCTCCCCTCACTGCCAGCTTATGTTACTGTATATTCAGTCCGGCCAGATGATATTTTTAGCCTGCTTTCAGGGCCATCAAATGCCCTGCCGCGAAAGTAAACACGTAATTTGCACTTTGACCAAAAAAAACTCGGTTCAGATCATGCGGTCTAAAGGTTGATTATTTCTTGGGCAGCAACCCGGTTTAGTACGTCGTATATCGCGCCTTAACTGCCTTCACAATTACATAAGCCAGACCGAGTAAGATCTCGGATCACACATAAACGAACGCAAGGCTAGCTGTATGACAAGATGCCACTTTTCCCGACTGGCCGCACCAATATAATTTTGCAACCACTGACTTAACTGTCCAAGCAGGAGGCTGACTGAACCCCGAGACGTGATGGGAATTCAGTCAACTGGCATATTACTTTTGAGAGCGCACGCAGTCACGTCCAGACCTCCGGCACTGATCGTTCATTGGTTGAATTGATCTGGGATGGTTAGCTGCCTTATTTCTGCTGTTATCTTTCGAGTGCCCTAGAAACCAAACGTTATATGCACGACGACCAAACAACTCGGTAGAAAGATTAAATAATAATGGTAGAGGGGCGCTCACCGATCGTTCTTGCGGAACTCACCCGTTCCGTTATGCCTTACGGGCTCTCTCTCTGGAGCCCAACCAGCGGCCGCACAGCGGCGCATGATATAGGCAGAATGGCATTACCGACAAAGACAAGGGATACAGAAATGGCCATTTCTGGCTTATTAGCCGTTGTCAGCCAGTCATACCCAAGCCCGAAGTGTGGAACACCCGAGCCTCGAACTCGCGACCTGTTGGTTTAGAAGTCCACGCCTCTACCCACCGGGCCACGAGCCCGTTGCCCTGTCGGTTTTCGATCGGGAATATGCAATGGTAGGGGGCGCTCATCGATCGTTCATACGGAACTCACTCGTTCCGTTGTGCCTTATGGACTCTCTCTCGAGCCCAACCAGCAGCCGCACAGCGGCGCATGATATATGGGCAGAATAGTATTACCGACAAAGACAAGGGAGACTGGAATGGCCATTTCTGGCTTATTAGCCGTGTTCAGTCAGCCATACCCAAGCCCGAAGTGTGGAACGCCCGATGCTCGAACTCGCGACCCGTTAGTTATAAATCCACGCCTCTAACCGCCGGGCCACGAGCCCGTTGTCCTGTCGGTTCCGGTCGGGAATATACAATGGTAGGGGGGCGCTCACCGATTATATTCATATTCAGAATCATTTTTATCACAAACTTAGTTTTTGGTCATCCTTAACAATCGGAATCTGTCAAAAAAGTAACCTGCAGGGATTCGACTGAGGATTTTTCTAAATTGTCAACTCATAGAATTTTTGTTAAAAACGAATGAATACAATTTCGGTAGCAAACATACTAAGTGGGCTAACTGACGTTTTCTGATACGCCCATTTAGAGACGATGATAAGGCCGATTGGTAAAATATGTAGAAGCACCAAACATGGACGTGTGACAGAATGCGTTATGTTTTACTGGCCTCGAAAGTGGATTGGATAGTCTTTTTGCGGAAACCTAAACTCCTTCTTATTCCAGAGCGGTGTATTGTTCGGAGACATTGCGCTAGAGAAAGCCGATATTGCATATCAACTCCATACTCCATACTAGAAAGGTTGACCGCCAAAAGTACCTCGCTTTGTCCAGAAAAATGTAACCGATAGGGGAAAGGGAAAAAAGACAAGTCTATGGTAGACGGTAGCGTTTGAGAGGAAGGCCTGAGTAGGTATTGGCTATTAGCGAGTCAATCAGATGCTGTGCTGGCGCCTATGCGTGGAAGCCGAAATCATGGGCTGGAAACCTCAGTGTGCAAGGAAAATGTTGACACTCCGGACTATAGGACAGCACAAAAGTGGCGTGCATTTAGACTGACCCAATCAAGGCGCGACCGGCTTAAACTCTTCCAAGAATGAGTTACAAATTATGCAGCCCAATTCGAATCAGGCTCATTTCCATCCCAAAGCTTCTTGGTTTTTTTAAAAAAAAAGCATGGGGCCGATTGTTACCAAGTTTCACATTGCCCTTTCAGCAACAATGAAGCATGGATAAGGGTGTCAAAAGAGTTCTCTGTCAAGTGGAGTGTGGACCTCAAAAAAATTCCAAAACGGAGAGCATTTCCCATACAAGTTTAAAACCTGCTACAAACATAAGAGCCGAGTTGAAATGGACTTAGTAATTGAACATATCTTACAATTATTTCATCGTCGGAGTTTGCGCATCCAAAAAGGCCGAGAGTTTTGTAATGTCATGCACTCCGATTAATCATGCATCGAAAGGCACATCGAGTTAGATTCCACGTACAAAAATCTCAGGGAAAAGAGGAGGAGACGAAAGTCAATCGATACAGACTGGCCCACACGGCAGCCGCTCACTGGCTGAAGCACCAAATAAATATTGATTTCTCAGCACTTTTGAAATGTTAATTGTTTTTTGCACATTCACTGGAGTCTGAAGACGACTTAGGGAACCGACGCCGAAAATTAATTCGATAAAGTTTTCCACTTTCCCCAAAGAACTATTTGCATTAAAAAATATAGATATATAGAAAACATCAAGGAAATAAATTGTATCTAAGGTTAACCAACTTTGTTTTGTAACTTTCCGACGACGGTACTCCAGGTGGTCGACAGAGCTGCGGCAAAAATTTCAAAACAACCAAAATGTTAAATGTACCCCAAAAATGGATACTACTTTGTCATTACTGTCGTTAATACGTCGCTGTGGGTTGATATCCCGTTCAAACTGGTCGTTGCCCTATTCATTCATTTTGGCATTATTTTATACGGCGTCTAGTTCGATGTACCGATGAATGCACGTGTCATCCGAATGTATGGCTTCTGAAACCTTTCCGCCTCTCTTAGATGGACGGACACCAGTCATGATAGCTTTGTCTGAAGCACATTTGTGTCCAGTTTCAGCGTCGACATGGCGAAGTGGGTCATGTAGTCCGGCCTCTTTACTCTCAATTGATGCTCACGTAGGCGTGTAGTGGACAAGTATTCATAGTACACTTCACCGCAGGTATCGCATCGAATCTGGCAGACGGGTCAGTTCTTAATTAAATGACCAATAATTGTTTATAGTGTACAAGCTCCGTAATTAGTGTAGTCGTCGGTTTGTGCGTTTCTTTTACTTGGTGCTTCCTTGAATAATTTTCAACGAGTCCGTGCAAATTCTTAACGAATGGAAGTGTTCGCCCGTTATTGGTAGCAGGGAGCGCTCGCCGGCCGTGTTACGGAACTCACTCGTACCGTTCTCCTTTGGGGCTCTCTCCACAACAAACCAGCAGCTCTACAGCTTCCAAAAAAACAGCTACAACAGGTGGGCTTACCCATAAAACGTCAACTAAAATTCCGAAACGCGTTTTTGTTTCGAGAAGATTGATTAAATAACGTTGTAAAACTGAGCAGTCTGCAGTATAATTCTATACTAATTCAGTTAACTCAGGATGCCAGCTTTCAAACTAACTTTTCTTTCGGCTGCATTCAAAACTATACTCTGTAAAAAACGACTACATATGTAGCCTTCATTTTTCCACTGATTTTGAATTATATTTGATGAAAAACGTGCACGTAAATATTCATTCTTATGCTCATTCCGTAGCTTTCCCGAATAAGTTTAGGCCCAACCTGCCGTAATAACTGCATTTAGGGTTTCCAAATTACATGCTGTATATTTTCCGCGTATGGAAAAACATACATTTCTCGACGGTATTAATAGATGACCATATTGGGATAGTAAACTTTTGCAGCGGATTTGATCCATACTGTTAACTCTACAAGCCACATTGGGAAATGCAGAGACATGACGTTTCGTCAACGGCCATTCCACGGTATTAAAATTCTCACAATAAAAACCTTTTTTAAACCCGAATTACACCACTCCTTCGTGTATAAAATTGAAAGAGGACGTTGTTTTCTACCTAATGAGCAAAAGAGTGAATATATTTATGCATGTTTTTCATGAAATATGAGTGAATTTTTATTGGCATCGAAAATCTATGAAAAAATGCATGCTAACTAAGTGGTCATTTTACACAGAATTTAGTTTTTCATGCAGCCGGAAAGTAGTTCGTTTGTAATCCCGCCTTTTGAGGTAACCAAGTTATTATAGAATTGTGGTGCACGATGATTAACCCAACTTAATTAATCTTTTAGAAATGAAAGCGCATACCGGAATTTGGACTAACATTTCATGGGTTAGGGCACCTACTGTACTTTCGAATTCACGTTGTAAACCTGAGAAATACGGCCGGATACTTCGAAAGAACACACGGCATTGACAGAAGCTCAAGTACATTTTCTGCTGCAACTTACTGTGTTAAAACGGGTGATGACTCCTTCGCACGCGTTCATGGGTGCCAGTTAGCCTCTACCTGACAACATTAGGCGACTCAGGCAGCCATGCACATACTAGACACGCAGACCACGCTCGCGTGGGATAAAATCCGCATTGTTGGCGCCTACACAACAAAGAAAGACCTCCACTTCCGTGAGGCTGGACACGTGGAAGGAGCGCGCATCAGTAGGCACGTGGAATTAGATGCCGAATGCGGAGGTTGGTATGGTGGAGCGGATCCGAACACAGCCCATCCCGATTGGGTAGTGGAACGTGATGGGCGGGTATTGGCGCAAGTGTTAGCCAGTGAAACAACGTTTTGTCGGGCCATGGGTAAGGTGACAACTGAGTTCGTACGTTGCCCATGAGTCCGACGTCAACCTGGTGAGCCAGTTTAGAAACACTGTGGTTTGCCTGCTACTGCCCTTTCTTTCGTTGACAACTTGAACTATTGCTTAGTACTTTTCCTGCTACCTGGATCAGTGCTTTTGTTGGTTATAATCCTAGTCATTTGCTGTGTGGACCAAGGGGTGTGGAGTGGAACTTAAAGGTCCGGGCTCGACCGTGCAATCCACTTACGCCCTCACCTGCTTCCGGTCTTCTTGACTCTGTCTTGACAGCGGGTCCAGGTGGGGGAGGAGGGAAGGGTGCGGTAGATGTTGTGCAAGTCTATTATCACTACAAACTAATTCACGTGCAAGTCACCGTAAATACTTCACAGTGCTGTGTGGCACACGGTGGACATCGTCGGAAACGACGGTCGAACTGCCGAGCGATGTTTGTAAGTCGAGTACGTGCAGCATACAGGAGGCCTGCAATAGTCATCTGAGGCCAGCATTGGCCATTTCGAAGGCAATCAGTAGAAGAATTCGCCTTTATCAGTAACGACATGGCAACACCAACGGCGGCCGTGTGACGAGGTACCGCCTAAGCACTGATCGTGCACAGATCGCAACAGCAATCACGTCAAGTAGCTAATAGCAGGAGAAGACCGAAGGTAGGCTCAAGGACACGAAAAATCTGAGCGAAATTTGCTGCATTGGCATGTTTACTTCCCGCATGGACGCCTGTGACCATCTGAATGCGCGAATGCACGCATGCTTAAGTTTGTCCAACTGTAAACCTGGCGCGTCTTGAGTGAATGGCCTTGGCGCAGCGGGGGTCGGAACATAGGAACCAGGCCTGATGCTGCTGCTGCTGCTGCTGCTGCTGCTGCTGATGATGATGATGATGATGATGATGATGAGGAGGAGGAGGAGGAGGATGAGGATGATGATGAGGAGGAGGAGGATGATGATGATGATGATGACGACGACGACGATTCTGATTGGCTGGATAAAAAATGGAAGAAGCCGTGTTAAACCCAAAGTAGATGTATCTATTTTAGACGAAAATGATAACTACGGGACATTTTAACGAGCTGTTTTTACATTCGTTGCGGGATAAATGAAGAGACTGACCCCGGAAGATAACTTCCAGCGGCTCATACACATGTAATTTTAGCATATGCGAGACACGGGATCCAGATGGGGGAGTAGAAGAGAGTGCGATTGATGCAGCGTAATTTTACACTCACCATAAACTACATCACGCGCAAGTCGCCCTTCCTGCTGCTGTGGAGCTCACGGTGGACATCGTCAGATGCGACTGTCAAACTGTCACATAGTCCATGCGTCCAACGCCAATCTGGAGAGCCAGTTTAGAACCAGTTTAGTTTGCCCTTTCGTTCGCGAAGCACCCAAACTGCTATTTCTGGCACTTGAACCGAGGGAGGGGAAATGTCCTCGACGTCTCAGGGCTCCACTCGTTTGTTTTCGAACTGCTTGTATAAACACACTGAAGGAGGAAGTGCCTAGGAGTGTTGCTTTTTTTCTGGCATGTGTGTGAATTGTTAATAGGCTAGAACTGGTGGATATAATCGGCGTCGAAAGACCGTGGTCAACCGGGCGCGATCATGGAGGGTAGGACAAGGAGAACTACGATTTATGTTGCCCAGGGGTGGGATGGTGAATAGGGTGTTCGTACGAAGCATGAATGCCGTGTTGGTGCCATACCTAAGTACCCTAGAGAGGAATGATTGGTGGAACGCTGTTAATACCATTGACAGAGGAACGCCTGCATTCAAACCACTATCAAAGGTACAGTGCGTGACCGATCTCATGAAATGTTGACCAAAAATCTGGAACGTGTTTCCAATTAGGTAGGGTTACATAAGTGGGGTTGTTATCCTGATTATTATTCAGCAGAATCCTATAACATTTCGGACTCGCCAGGATGTCGGCTTTTAAAAGCACTTCCTATTGACCTTATGCCGAAACCGCACTCGGTAAAAATGACTACTTAATTCGCATGCATTTCTCACACTAATTTTCGATGATCTTGTAAACTCAAATATATTTTAAAGAGAACATGCACAAAAATATACGTTGTTTTGCTGATTCTCTAGAAACTCACATTGTCTTCATAGTTTATGAAAAGTGTACATTTTGGTTATAAATAAGTTTCTACTTATGAGATTTCTAAGACCGTGCGATGTTCATGCATACAAGACAGCACATGTCCTTTTATTAATGCTCCTCACGAAATTTACAACACAGTCCGAATCGATTTAAAGCTGGCGCATATTACTTCGCTACACAAAGGAGGTAACAGGGCAGTCACGACAAATTAAAGGCCCATAGGTTTGACATGCATTCTCTGCAAAGTTATGGAAAGGATCATAAAGAGTGAACTGATGCAATTCCTGGAAGTTCACGGCCTGCTATCGAAATGCCAACATGGGTTCCGAAAAGGAAGATCCTGCACGACAAACTTGCTGCAATCTCTCCAGAGCTGAACCCGAGCTCTCGACGACAGGCACGCGGTCCACATAGCCTTCATCGACTGCCAGAAGGCGTTCGACACTGTGTCGCACCAGAGGCTCTTATATAAACTAAAAAAATAGGGATCAATAGCAACTTCCTTAAATTGATCAAAAACTTCCTTTTGGGTCGACACCAGGTTGTGTGCATCGGTCAAGGGAAATCAGATCCTGCTATGGTCGAGAGTGCTGTCCCCAGGGTTCAGTACTGGGACCCATTTTGTTCCTTATCTACGTGGACGATGCCGCATGAGTTTTAGACTACAAAGTAGCAATGTTTGCCGATGACATGAAGATATGAAGTGTAATTCGGGGCCCTGCCGACGAAGACAGACTGTAAATGAACCTCAATCGGTTGGAGTAGTGGTGAAACGGTTGGCTCCTGCGGTTAAACGCTGCCAAATGTTGCATACTTCGCCTAGGCAACACAGCCAGATCCACCAACACAAGAAACTACTTTCAGGGCGGTGCATCCCTATAAGAGGTCAAAGCCCACAAGGACCTCGGTGTGCTGACGACGAGTTTCCTAAAGCCATCCGCCTATTGTTTGAGAGTGGTAAAAAGCGCAATGTCCGTTCTGTACGCCATCAAGCGTGCGTTTATGGACTTTGACGAAGATGCTTCTTCAAAGACATTCGGAACATTCGTCCGGCCGCAGTTAGAGTTCGGCATACAAGCCTGGAGGCCGTGGGCGGTTGAAGATCAAAACTGCACCGAAAGAGTCCAGAGGAGAGCCATGAAGATGGTTAGGAGTCAAAGCTCCTTTCTTTATGCAGCCCGCCTAGCAAATCCAAACCTCTTTCCTTTGAGTTACAGGCAACTTCGCGGGGATCTCTTGCAAGTCTTCTGCATTGCAAAAAAGGTTGGATTGCAGTCTGGCATTCGAGGACTTTATGGAATTTGCTACCACGACCAACCTCCGATGTCACCCGTTAAAACTGCGCACTCATCAGGCAAGGCTGGATAGGCGGAAGTTCTCCTACTCCGTTCGAGTGGTCAAACCATGGAATGCCCTTCCCGCAGATGTTGTGATGTCACCATCTATACAAAGTTTTAAAAAGAATCTGGACATATTTATGTTCCGAAATGATCAAGAGCAATGAGAATTAGAGCTCACTTCCTGTAACTCGTTCTCATTTTGTCCTTCCATTATGGGCGTTTTTGAACTATTTCAGTCCAGAACATTTATCTGTATACCACACATTTTTTACGTTGCAAATAGCGTACTTAAAGGCTTACGCCTATTTCCCTTAATAAACTGAACTGAACTGAACATTGCGAAGTTTCATGAAATCTACGTGGTATCTTCTTAAAGGCATCGAGAAATATGTGGTTTTCCCTACGCGGAAAGCATGCAACTTGTAGACCGAAATTGCCAAACGCTGATGCAATGGCAGATCAGGCTGAAAATTATTCGGGAATTGGGAAACTTTTTCAAAACCTAAATATACACTTTCTTTTGTTAAAAACTATAAAGACAATGTGATTTTCTACCAAAGGAGTAAAAATCGGCATTTTTTTGCATTTTTTCCGTATACTATTTTTAAATTTATAAAACCATCGAAAATAAGTATGAAAAATGCATGCTACTTAAGTAGTCAGTTTTTACCAAGTGTGGTTTCTGCGAGAGGTAAAAAATAAGTGCATTCAAAAGCCGAAATTCTGGCGAGCTCGAAATGTTATAGGGTTGTGCTGCATGATAGTCAATTTAACAACCGAAATTAAGTAATCCTTCCTAATCGGAAACGCATTCCAGAATTTTGGCCAACATTTCCTGGGATTGGTCAGGCACTTTACCTGGAGCATCAATTCATAGCATATACTACAATCGTTATTTACCCGTCCACTCAATTGTCCCACCCGTATGGCCCCTATTACCACCGGTCCCGATCGACAGGCAGCTGGGAGTTTGCGGTGTCAGGAGGGCTACCAAGTATCATCTAACCATCCTTCCTAATCGGAAACGCATTCCAGAATTTCGGCCAACATTTCCTGGGATTGGTCACGCACTGTAGTTGAAGAGGGACACCTCCCGTGACTGCAGGCGGACCACTAGACTGTCATTTGATACTCAGTTAGCATGTGTTTGCAATCGGGTCGGTCACGCCGTCCTAGTCCCAAGTGTAAGCGCAGTGTGAGTGCCGCGGGTTAGGCAGCCGAATGAGAATGCTGAAATCGTTAGTGGGAAAGTAGCCAAAGCTGAAACGGAAAAGGGCAACCTGACGTTTCTTTGAGGTTGTGTTAGTTTTAGGGTTGATTTGGTGTCAGGTTGAGTATTGAGTTTAGGATTACGGTTTGTGTTAAGGTTAAGGGTTCCGGCTAGTGTTACGGCTTGGATTCACGTTTAGTGTTGAGATTGGGTAAGGATTTTGGTTAGTGGTGCGTCAATAATAACGTTTGCTTTTGAGGTTACGGTTAGGTTTACCGTTGGGTTTGGGGTATTGCCGCCCGCGTGTCCCCGCAGCCAGGTCTTCTGCAGGTATTCTAGGCTATCTTTAGTCTCGCGGTAGATTTTTCATATATCAGGTTGTCTTTTCAGTTTCAGCCTCAGCTACATTCTCCACAATAGATCTCAGCATCTCCTTCCGGCTCAACTTGCTTTTAATGCCCACATTGGGCTTACAACTGAAAGCAGGACAGCGTACCCGACCAATGCTGAGGGCTGCACTGTGTCGACCTGGGTGCGTTCCGGAATGATCTCCCAAACTGAGAGGCAAAATAGGGTTTCCCTCCATTTCTCAGGTCCTGGATGTTTAACTGACCAAAACATACCTTCTTCGCTTTTAAATTGCTCGAAGACCACGCAAACCGGGGGCAGTCTAAAGTTGGAGAATAAATCGTGAGATTCATCAAATACTAGGTTACGGCTATCTTTTGTAAGCTAATGCACGAATGCAACTTGTCCATCGACGCCAACATTCCTCTGACTCTGTGTGCATAGTAACTTGCTTGACTGTTTGTTGTGAATTGCAGATATGCAGTTTTTGCATGTGATTCATCTGAACCGGTTCAGTTTCATCTGCATCTCGCGTTTTACCGGGTGCGGATCGGTTGGGATGTCCTAACGTAGTCATTAGACATTCCCCACAAGTGCTGCTTTTGTAAGGCATTTAGCCTGTCGCCTGAATGACCCCGAACTTCATACAGTTTGTGTCGGTATGTTTTTGAACGATGCGGGACGACCATTCCCTGGGAGATTTTTCCTGGACTAGTAGAAAGCGTAAACTAGGAAATATTGCGACCTGCTCTTCGGTTCGGTCTTTGCAACAAGGATGTTGACGTTGCTCGTGATGGTGGCTTAAAGGCAAGTGCTCTGTCTGGGAAAAGTCCGAAAATAGCTGTAGCTTCGCCGAGAGTCTGATCATGTGATTAGAGATCAGTGGATCGGCGCGTGCCCATTCCTCTATGTAAACTCACGCTTTAATGACCGGCGAACGTTGTTTCAGTCAACGCAAAGTCTCTAGGCAATCGGTAACTAGTGCAAGTTCATTATCTAAACGACTTCGACCGACCTGCCGTTATTTCAAACATTAAAAGGAATGTTGATAAGGTGCCACCGACAAAGACAGGGGAGACCGAAATGACCATTTCTGGCTTATTAGCGGTCTGCCGACGGCCTGCGAGGGTTTAAGTATGAGCTTCAAGGTACAACAGAACGAGCATGTTCTGTAACCTGATCGGTGAACGCCCATCTGTCATTAAAAGGAATATTAAAAATATAATTTTGTTGGTTGGAAATAAGAATTTCTTCAGAAAAAGCGTAAATGCCGAAAACCCAAATTTTCTAGTCAGCTAATCACATATAGAAAGGCATAAAACCCGTCCCTGCAAATAACTGCAGTAAGTGGACTTACTCATGGAATCCTAACAGAAATTCCGAAATGGTTTCCTTTTCGAAAATATTAATTAAGTAGGGTTGTATAATCAATTATCGTGCAGCATAATTCTATAATAAGTGAGTTACCCCACGACGCCGGCCTTCGAACGAACTTTTTTCCGGCTGCATCCAAAAACCGTACGCCGTAAAAAAAAGGACTACCTATGTAGCATGGGTTTGTTTCATTGATTTTCGATGCCCTCAAAGATTCAAGCATATTTCATTGAAAACATGCATAAACTTATTCATTCTTTTACTCATTCAGTATACAATTACGCCTTCCTTCAACGTTGTGATCGACGGCAGGGTATAATTTGATTTTAAAAATTTTTCTAATTCTGAGATTTTTAATATCGTGAAATGGCCCTTCGTAAAACGTCATGTCTCTGCATTTACCAATTTAGCTTGTAAAGTTAACAATGAGGCTAAAATCCACTGCGTAATTTTATGGACCCTTTAGGTCCCCCTTTATTACCGTAAAGAATTGCGGAAATGATATGGTTAGAGTTTGGGAACATTGGATGCAAGTGTAACCGTAGGTTAGTTTCAAAATTATGCGGGCATCAGAAAAGTTTTACAAGAGCAACTTATACCGAAAGCTAAAGAACAACTTAGACCGAAAGCTCAGACTAATAAACCCACTGTCCCAGAGATCGGGTCTTCATCTTCTTTACAACAAGAACCTGGGATTCGCATATTCGCTTCCATCCGTGACAACTTATACTCTCCCTTTGAGTGTGAATTTGAAAGAAGACGTAATTGTCTACTGAATGAGCAAAAATGAATATTTTCATACATGTTTTCTATAAAATATAATTTAATCTTAAAGGACATCAAAAATCAATGAAAAAATGCATGCTATTTAAATAGTCATTTTTTACGCAGTATAGTTTTTGAATGCAGCCAAAAAAAAGTTTTCGAAAGCCGGCCTCCTGGGGTAACTGAATTAGTAGAGAATTATGCTGCCTGTTGGTTAATTTTACAACCCTACTGAATTAATCTTTTCGAAACAAAAACGCATTTCGGAATTTCTGTTGACATTTCATGAGTAAGCCACCTACTGTAAGTAACTTAAATAGAATAGGCACAGTAGCTTATAAGAGGTTTTCGTCATAAGCACTCTGAATACATATCCTCAAATAATAAGTGCCGTTTGGCGTGTGGCACGTATTAAATTATTTCATATTTGATAATAGTTTTCAAAACTGTCCCATGAGAATGAAATATGGTCATTATCCTCTTTATATTCTTCGAGATGAGGTTGATCTAAACAGGGGGATTTTGCTCGATTTCGCCGATCGTGAGATCACAGGAAAGAAAGGTTTCATATGGCCATATGCTGAGAGGCCGGTCAGCGATTGAGTGATTTGAATAAAATTAGAAGATGCAATCGTAAACATACCATTCTATGCGCATCAAGATGGCTTTTCTTCTGCTCACGTTGGGTATGCTTTGATTCAGAGCATCCCCGAAGCAACAGTGAACACTTCAAACGACTGACCGAAAACATCGTTACTGTAGATTCTGTCCATTAAAACCTCCTAAATGGGGTATATCTTGAAAGGGTATAACGAAAAGATGCATTATTAAATGCCCTTTTATGCTGATCGACGTATGGGTCATATTTGTAATTTAAAGCAACCTGAAAACGCATCGTGAAGAAGGCGACACGATCGCGGGGACAAGAGCTTTCTTAGCCTGACATTTCGGATTCCTGCTAAAATCCATCATCAGAGACAAAAGCAGATAAGGGTGGTTGATGTATGTGCGGCTGCAGTATTTATAGGATGCAGTTGCCATGCTACCGCATACTTGTGAATATTCACGGCTCCCCCATTTCATCAGGGATCGTTGCACGTGGCGTGATGGCCGACATTCGCGTCGTTAATTGCTGCAATTTCATCACGTGCGTTGGATGTTGGTGTGATGATTGCTCGACCATATGACGCGCTGACCCTGGTGTTGGAAAGAGTGTTCACCTCTGCGCTCCCCGCGTGGCCAATTACTCTGCCTAAACAAAGTCTCAGCACGGTGTATTGAATGGGAAGATCATTGCACTTGTTAATAGACTGGGGGCCAGCAAACCATGACTCAAGCAGCTCCCGGCTCACGCGGTTGTCACCTCTTGCAAGAATTTCGGCCTCATCAAATTTGCATGTGTGGCCGAACCCCTCAAATGAGCCGCAACTTGGGAGCTGGCGTCATTTCTCCGCACCGCTGCAGCGTATTCGGTCATCCGCGTTTTGATTTGTCTTCCGGTTTCTCCGACGTAGTTGCTTTGTCCTCAACTACACCAGATCCGTTGAGCGACTCCAGTCGTTTCTAGCCATGGCAGTGGGTCTTTCGGTTTCATGACCAGATGCATGATGGTTGCCTCCGGTCTGTGTGCAACTCCATCCCCAAATGCTGCGAGAAGGCGGCCAAAAGCCTCCGAAACGTTCTTGACATATGGAAGCGCTCACCAAACTTTGGTGTTCATGCGGTTAGGGCTTTCGTCCCTTTTGCGTATGCACCGGTCGACAAAGTTGCGCCGGTAACCATTGGCTTTGAAGACCCGTCGGAGGTAATGTAGTTTGGCAATTTTATCTTCCGGCTCACTGCAGTGCGTTTCGACACGTCGATAGAGCGTCCTTGCACAACTGCGTTTGTGACTGATTGGGTGGTTACTATTGAAGTTCAGTACTTGCATCGTATTTGTCGCCTTCCTGAACACTTTGGTCTTTAGTCCACCGCAATCTTTGCGGCATACGAGGACATCCAGGAAGGCCAGCTGATTGTTCTCTTCCTCCTCCATCGTAAATTGTATGTCCGGGAAGACCGCATTCAGACGTTCCTTGAATTTCAGCAGTTGATCCCGGTCGATAATGACGTAGGTATCATCCACATACCGAGTCCAGAATTTCGGTCTGTGGTGTTGGAAGACCAACGACTCTAACCGTTGCAGGACCGCCTCGGCGATGAATCGCGAAATCGGCGAACCCATTGATGCGCCCTTCGCCTGTACGTAGATTGTCCCGTCGAACGTGAAGTACGTCCTGAGACAGAACTTCAGGAGCTGAAGGACTTGGGCGTGTCCAAGCCGATTCTCCGTTTCATCTTATTTGCTTTGTAGAAGCAGCTCGATTGTTTCGATCGCCAGGTCCTGGGGAATAGAAGTAAAAATGGATGTAACATCAAAAGATACCATGACCTCATTTGGATGGATGCTTACCCCTTTGAGTTTCTCCAGGAATTGTGCTGACGAAGAGACCGTGGTGTCTGACTCAGCGGTTAGGAACTTGAGACGCCGGAACAGCCACTTAGCCAGTCCGTACGTTGGAGACCCTTTGAGCGAAACGATGGGTCGGTGAGGAGCGCCGTCTTTGTGCACATTAGGGAGGCCATAGAATCGGTCCAAAGCCGTATCTTGGGGTGTCGCCATGAGTCTGTCGGTCGGTGTTATTGCACCTGAGTTCTCCAAGGCCAACAACGTGGCATTAATTTCGCGCGTCAGCGCTTTTACAGGGTTCATTGCAAACGGGACATAGAACTGTCGGTCTTCCAGTAAACCTTTGGCTTTTTGAAGGTAGTCTGTCCTGTCCAGCACAACCATGGCTCGAACACGCGACCTGTTAGTTAAAAGTCCACGCCTCTAACAAATGGGCCACGAGCCCCTTGCCCTGTCGGTTTCGATCGGGAATATACAATGGTGTGGGGCGATCAGCGATCGTTCTTACGTAACTCACTCGTTCCGATGTGCCTTATGGACCCTATTTCTCTCTCGAGCTCAACCAGCAGTCGCACAACCATGAATGATATAGGCGGAATGGCATTACCAACAAAGACAAGGGAGACTCAGAAGATGAAGATGCGATCACTGGGACAAGAAGTTTATTTGCCTGGCGTTTCGGATTCTCACTCGAATCCATCATCAGAGACATTCGCAGATAGAGGTGAAGGTGGCACCAGGAGTGCAGTATTTATAGCACGTGGCTGCCGTGCGACCGTATGCGCACTGCAATTAACAGTTCTCACAATCGCCGCTGGGGTCGTAATTGATGCGGCGGTGGCTTGGCGGTCCGAGTCCGAGTTGTTAATTGCCGCGATTTCGTCATCCGTGCTCGATGCTGGTGTGACGATTGCTCGGCAAACTGGCTCACTGTCACCGTGATAATTGCTCACTCGCGCCCTCCCCACGTGGCTGATTCTCCTGCCCAGGGAAAATCGCAATACGGAATAGGCCACCGGGAGGTCATTGTGTTTGTTGATGGATTGCGGGCCTGAGACCCATGACTCGAGCAGCTCGCGGCTCACGCGGTTGTCACCCCTTGCGAGGATTTCGGCCTCTTGAAATTTGAAAATATGGCCGATTCCCGTCGAGTGTGCCGCCACTTGAGAGTTAGCGTCTCCCCGCCTCACTGCTGCCGCGTGCTCGGCAAGTTGCGTGCGGAGTAATTTCCCAGTTTCTCCGACATAATTGCTTTGTCCGCAACTACACCAGATCCGGTAAACGACTCCAGACGTTTCCTGCCGTGGCAGCGGGTCTTTTGGCCTCATTACTTGGCGCCTAATGGTTGCTTCCGGCCTGTGTGCAACCGCAACTCCAAGTAGAGTGAGAAGACGACTGACGGCTTCCGAGAAGTTCTTCACGTACGGAAGAGCCCGCCAACATTTGGGGCTAGTTGGATTTGGTCTCTGGTGTCCTTTTCGTATGCACTGGTTGACAAAGTTCCGCGGGTAGCCATTGGCTCTCATTACCCGTCGGGAGACTGGAATGACCATTTCTGGCTTATTAGTCGTCGTCAGCCAGTCATATCCAACCCCGAAATGTTGAACACCTGGGGCTCGAACTCGCGACCTTTTAGTTGCAGTCCACCGCCTCTAACCACTGAGCCACGGACTCGTTGTCTTGTCAGTTGCGGTCAGGAATATACAATGATAGACTGCACTCAAAATTCGGGGTTGAGTATGACTGGCTGACGACGGCTACTAAGCCAGAAATGGTCATTCCATTCTCCCTTGTCCTTGTCGGCGATACCATTCTACTTATTCCTGTGCACCTTTTATGCAGTTCAGTTCAGTTTTATTAAAAGGAAATAACCTAACGCCTTTGAAATCCCTTTTGGGTAAAACATATCTAAGAAAGTGTTTTGATGACCAATAAAAATTAAAAACGGGTTGTTTATATAACTACACTGTCTGTGCAGAATTGTCTGCCATTTGATCCGAAACTTCGGGTTAAGAGAACTCCCAGTCCAAGGATAGAGTCCGTCCTTGAATTTGTAAACAGTCGGTCATGGACCATCAGTCTGATCTACACTGGTATATTTGCGATCTCACATTTCCGTCGTTAATTTGGACCGATGACACATACAACCATCCTTTGGTGGTACCAAATGTTCTTTAGTAAATAAGTCTGGCGTTGATTCCCCAACACCAAATGAAATACCCCGAATTCTAAAGCGCAGTTTATTCTGGAGGAGGGATGTTGACAGTCATCTACAATTTTCTCCCTGGGACGGAGTGAAGTAGGGCAGTTGGAAGCCCAATACAGTGCACCCGCACGTTACTTAACGGGTGCAATCAGATCACCATCTGTCAAGTCGTAACGCATCGCAGGGAAAACTAGTGAGGTCAACCCGGAGAAAGGCAGGGGCATCAAGAGGAAAAATGATGTAGGACAGTTCTTACCTGGCGGCGATCAATGAGCAGGTAGCAATGGCCACATTATCGTTATTTTAGTCGATCTTCTGCTACTTATTTCCATTGAGTAGCTCGGATTTCAGGGCTAAATTGCTTTGCATAATTCTTGCGGCTTGGCTGGGGACGCAATATTAGCACTCCTGGTGACTCTTTCATAAGACAGGGATGACAAAGTTGCCCTGGTCAAAATTTATTTTTCTGTATAAGTTGTTGGAACTGCAGTTCATGCGACTGCATGCATAAGCGTGGTTGGTGATAGGGGGTACAGGCCAGTTTTTCCCTTCACAGTAGTAAATGACTTCTTGCTAAGTGAGTACGCTTTGTCTCAGTTGCGAAAACTTCATTCAAGGTCTGCTGTACTATTCCCCTGCGCGTGTGCTATTTAATGGCACTTAGAACACAAATCTTAACCAAATCATAGCCCCACTTAACGAAGTTTCTAGAAGTCTGCATGTTGAGAGAAATCGAAATCGCCATTAGCTGCAGATGATATTGGCGACAGTTAAATCTACCCTCAGTAAGGTGTTCGTTCCGGAATTTCCTATAGACATGCAATTTTAAACTGTTAATCCATCGAATGTGCTTCTTGAATTAAGGAGATCCCCTTAATGCGTTATGCTTGCTTGGACATCGATGTCGTTTACTTGCTCCTCATTTTACATTTCTGTCTTACATTTGAAATTACGGACTGAGTTTATGAATTTTGTTCACATGTTATTTATTAATAATTTCTCATGGTGTGTAGGCAAGAATTCTGCATGTGAGGATTAATCCGAACGGAAATAGTTATGCACAGATGTTAAACAGAAGGAGCTATGAACGATACAGGGTCACCAGTGTAAGAGACGAACCCACTAGTTGGGCACAGCGAGTAGGCTATCCAGGAAACGAAAATAGCAGTATCCCAACAGTTACAAACTAGTAAATAAAAACAAAGTCGTCAGCAGGTAAAAGTGCACGAGCGTGTTTTTTGTCTTATTCAAAGTTGTGTCAAAGCGTATTGTAACTGATTAAAACAAAACGGACTTAAATGCCACTACAGTGTGTAGGCAAGAATTCTGCATGTGAGCCTACTTAGGGAACAAAAACCATGTCATCGAGTAGAAGGGGTTTTATGGGTGGAGCCTAACTGCGGAAAGCGGAGTGCGATTATAGGCATACTGCGTTCTCGCGCCACTGTTCCTCTGTGGATACTTCGAAAAGTGCACACGTACCAGGAATCTGATCCCCGGGAAATGCCAACGTCATCATAAAATCCGCCAGTGCATACAGAAAGTTCGACCTTTTTCGAGTTCTTCTAGTTTGTTTTCACAAAGATAATGATTGCATCCCGTCCGGTTGCAAGAGCGCGGCAGCGAGATTTTTAAAAAAAGAAGGCGTGGGCGGGCGCAATATGTCGCATGCTGCGTCAATGCAGCACTGTGTTTTGTCACTAGATTATTGCTGGTCATAAGGTCTGAAAGCGTGTGCTACGCCAGTATCAACAGGCCATGGCCCTCGCAGACCGGTATGCGCTGGCAGTTCCCTATCACCTGGTTCCCCACCGGCGGATGCGCTTGCGCTGGTGATGGGCATGGCTGCCCGGTCATCATCCTCGTCCTTCTGACCCCCGTCGGGGTGTTTTTGTGTTTGCCGTTGTTGGTCAAAACTCCTGGTCAGGTGTATGTTGTGCCACCTGCACCCTCCCCCGCCTCCGATCTTCTTGACTCTGCCTTGGCACCTGGGTCAGGTGGGGAGTGGAGAAGAAAGAGTGCGGTAGGCGCTGCGCAAGTCCACTATCATTATGAAAAAATTCACGCTTAAGTCACGGTCGCTTTGCTGTGTAGCACACGAAGGACATTGTCGGATGCGACGGTGGAACTGTCATTGTCGGTGTTCCGTTTGCTTTGGGCCACAGTTTTGTGCATTTTACCTCGCATGTTCGTTATGTCCACAACGAGATCGTCAAGGCGGTCTAGCAGGCAAGTCCTTATTG